CTGATACTTTAAATTTTTAAAATATTATTTATATATATATTTTTTAGTGCAGAAACACTCCATATTAGTTTTCTAGAACTACCATAACTAAGTAACACAAACTGGGTGGCCTAAACGATGGAAATTTATTTTTTCACAATTCTGGAGGCTAGAAGTTTGAGATCAAGGTGTTGGGAAGGTCCATTTCTTCTGGAGGCATCTCTCCTTGGCTTGAGATGGCTGTCTTCTCTCTTCATCTTCGCATGGTTTTCTCTCTAAGCCTAGCTATGTCTTAATCTCTTCTCAAATTCATACATCAGTCATATTGAGCCAGGGCCCACCCATGTGACTTCTTTTCTCCTTAATTACCTCTTTAAAGGTCCTGTCTCCATATAGAGCCACTTTTTGAAGTACTGGGGTTTAGAACTTTGACACATACATTTTTTGGGGACACAGCTCAGCCCATAACACCCTCATGTCAATAATGGGGACAAACATCATTCTCACTTAGGTCATCGGCACAAAGGCCAAAGAATGAGTCTGAGCCACCACCTTGCAGGCCAAGATTCCGAAATCATGTTGGAATCTGGGGTCCAGCCTGGGGCATCGCTTCCCTCCAGGTACACTTTAAGATGTGACGTGTGTATTAATCTCAGTTGAGCAGAGCAATGAAGTGCGAATGTTTGTATATCTCTCTTAATTGAACAGAGAGTAAAAGACATTAAAAATGAGATAAAAAGTGGCATTGGCAGTTAAGTCATATCCTTTGCAAGTGGTAGTAAAAAAGACTATACTCAGGGCTTGCAAAAACTGACGACAGTATTGTGTTTTGTTTTCATGTTAATAATAGATTATATCATACACAAAATAAGCAAATAATTCATATAAAATCGAGAGATTTTCAATTTGTCAAAGTCCCCTTTTCCTCTGTCATTAAGTAGGATAGCTAGAAGAGTTCTGTAGTTGGGGACAATAGGTGAAATCAAAGTAGCAGAAAATAGTGATTTTTTTTTTTTTAATATTTTACAGCTTTATTGAGATGTAATTCACACACCATGAAATTCACCCACTCTACCATCCTTCCTTCCTCCCTCTTCCCTCCCTCCCTCCCTCCTCTCTCTCTCTGTTTCTTTCTTTTTTATATTTATTTATTTTTTTATTGCATTTTAGTTTTGGGGTACATGTGAAGAACATGCAAGATTGTTGCATAGGTACACGCATGGCAGTGTGATTTGCTGCCTTCCTCCCCTTCACCTATATCTGGAATAGTGATGATTTTTTAAAGCGCTAATTGAAGCCTTAAGTGTCTGTCAGTGTTCTGCTTGCTTTGGGGCTGAAATCCACTCTGTTCTTGAGTCTGTGCTGTTCACCATGGTAACTTCAATAAAAGTCCCCTCACAAATGTTTTTCTTCTAGAGTGCAAAGCACCTTTTTAAAGAAGAAGGCTGACAACCTGGTAGGAGTGGGTGTTTGGAAAATAAATGAAAAGTCTTCTGCTTTCTTCATAATTGCTGTGGGTGGCAGGAGGAGAGGAAATCACTGAGGGGACAAGATTGGGTAGAGAAAATGTTTTATCTTGTTTCGGATAAGAATTAATTTGATTTTTGAGGCCAGAAATTAATAAAAAAAATACTAGAGAAGAAACTTTTCCCTTTCATAAAATGTCCTTATTTATTGTTTATTCATTTATTCTGAGATGGAGTCTCATTCTGTTGCCCAGGCTGGAGTGCAGTGGCATGATCGTGGCTCGCTGCAACCTCCACCTCCTGGGTTCAAGCAATTCTCTTGCCTCAGCCTCCCAAATAGCTGGGATTACAGGTGCGTGCCACCATGCCCTGCTAATTTTTGGTAGAGATGGGGTTTCATCATGTTGGTCAGGCTAGTCTCAAAATCCTGACCTCAGGTCATCCACCCACCTCAGCCTCCCAAAGTACTGGGATTACAGGCATGAGCCACTGCACCTGGCCAAAATGTCCTTATTTCTGATCTTAAAATTTGGACAGTTTTTGGTTATCCAAATTCATGGGTCACTCTGGAGTATGAATTTTGTATGGGACAAGTTTTGCCAAAACCTGATTCAGTGAATTCTGCTTGGGTCCAGATGTAACTGTCTTGGGTTCTACATTGGGAAACTTTACTAAAGTGGGACTTTGAGCACAGTATCAAAATATCCTTGGCTTCCTTCTAGTTCCTCCCCATAAAATGTGGAGGTGACAGGAGCCCAGGGGTTTTCAGTCCTGGTTTCATATTTAAATCAGTGGGGATCTTTAGAAAATGACAATGCCTCCATCCTTCCCGTAGATTATAGTTTAATTGAGCTGGGGTGACACCAGATGTAGATTTTTTTTTTTTTTTTTTTAGACAGGATCATGCTTTGTTGCCCAGGCTGTAGTAGAGTGGCATGATCACTGGCTTAATACAGCTTCAACTTCCCCTGCTCAAGTGAAGCTCCCACCTCAGCTTCCCAAGTAGCTGGAACCACAGGCATGCACCACCACACCCAGCTAATTTTTTTTTTTTTTTTTGTAGAGATAGGCTCTCACTATGTGGCTCAGATGGTCTCAAGCTCCTGGACTTAAGCGATCCTCCTGCCTTGGCCTCCCAAAGTGTTGGGATTATAGGTATGAACCACTGTGCCCAGCTCAAATGTAGATTTTTTTAAGCACCCAAGGCAATTTTAATATCTAGCTAGACTTGAGAATCACTGTATTTGCTGATCTCAATTCACTTCCAATTCTATCATTCCATCATTCTAAGGCATCTACCTACAAACTGACTGAAGCAAGACTTTATTCTGATAGGTGTGCCAATTTAAGTACCTTTCCTTTCCATTTTGTTACATATCTTTCTTTGCAGGACTCAAGAAAGAAAGCCTTTAGCTTTTAATTTAAGGAACTCAACATTGTTATTCCTGGTTATCCCACTCAGTGTCCAGAATAAGCTCAAAAAGTCATGTCAGTGTTTAAGGCAGATGTATGTTTCCACTTTTAAAACACATGTGTTTTCAAAAAGTTTTATGGTGTAAATTTTGGTCAAAAGATATTCACTAGATTCAATGTTTTATGTATTAAATTCACTAGATCCAATATTTGATATAAAAAGCTATCTCTTTTATTTGAGACAGGGTCTTGCTCTGTTGCCCAGGCTGGAGGGCGGTGGCAAAATCACCAGCTCACTGCAGCTTTGACCTCCCAGGCTCAAGCCATCCTCCTGCATCAGCCTCCTGGAGTAGCTAGGACTATAGGTGCATGCCACTATGCCTGGCTAATTTTTAAATTTTTGGTAGAGACAGGGTAGCCCTATGTTGCCCAGGCTGGTCTCAAGCTCCTGGGTTCCAGTGATCTTCCTGCCTCAGCCTCCCAAAGTGCTGGGATTACATGTGTGAGCTACTGCATCTGGCCTATAATATTATTTTTTTAATGGACCAAGACAAAGCTAATAGTAGGATTAATTATTTTTTAATGGACCAAGACAAAGCTAATAGTAGGATTCTCAAATGACTATAAAACTTTTTGTTGGCAGAGAGGGTAATGTTTCTTATTAGAATAGTGGTTCTCATCCTTGACATCACATTAGAATTGCCTGGAAATGTTTTTTAAAATCTTTCACGATTGGGCACAGTGGTTTATGCCAGTAATCCCAGTACTTTGAGGGGATAAGACAGGCAGATTGCTTAAGATCAGGAGTTTGAGACCAGCCTGGGCAACACGGTGAAACCCCGTCTCTACTACAAATATAAAAATTAGCCTGGCATGGTGGTACACACCTGTAGTCCCAGCTACTTGGGGAGTGAGGCAGGAGGATCACTTGAACTGTGGAGGTTGAGGCTGCACTGAGCCAAGACGATGTCACTGCACTCCAGCCTGGGTGACAACGTGAGACCCTGTTTCCAAAAAAAAAAAAAAAAATCCTTATGCTTTGGCTATGTCCTAGACTAAATCAGAATCACTGGACCAGGTACCAGATTTTTAAAAACTCCCTAATAGGCACTTTTTACTAAAACACTCAGCCAAGGTTGAGAATTGCTTCTCTAGAACGAAGTTATGTGTACAAATTGGAATAAGCACCTAGATGGTGGTGAAATAGTATGTCAGCCATCACCTCAATTGCAAACAGCACCTTCCTTTCCCTAGTGGATAACATTGTCAGGGTTATTCTTTTTTGCTAAAATTTCCATAGGAGAAGGAAGTGTCCTGTCCTTTTAAATGTTCTGAATTATTGGACTGCAACCATTGTCTACTAGATGGCAAATGAAACGTTTCCTTTTTAAGCTGGTGACTAAAATCAAGGCCATTCTTCTCACAGAGCATTTTGAAGATGACTGAAATCATGGGTAAAAGGAGAACAAAACACAGAACGTTTTTAGAAAATGAATTTGTTAGGTCAAATTACAACTCCGAAAGACTCAATGAAGTATACCTTTTAAGTTTTGGGTTTATTGTTTCCTGATAAGTAAAAATGCATTTCAGCATGATTCCTCTCCACCTAGGTGTAAACTCTGATATTCACTGCAGGCTTAGAGGGCTCCAAATCTCAGCACTGTAGTATCAAATGTGTGCTTTGTTGTCATTCATAAGCTTGGTTCTGGTATCTCCCCAAAGCCCATAAATCATTATCAAATAAGAAAATCAAGTAATTAAACTCTCTGGCCTGAATCTGATCTATACTCTCTACCTTCAGCATAGAAAGCTATTCACTCATACGGCTAGTTAAACGCTCTAATAATGAACTTGGATCAGGAAAATGATTTTGCTAATTCTTTCACAAACAGAGAGAGTAAGGGAGCTGATTTCCTCCCAATTACACATGCCAAATTCACTTGCTGTCAGTGGCTTGGATAGAGGGCCAAAGCTGTCATACATGGTAAAGGATGATAAAAGTATTAATAGGAGTAAGTTAAAAAAATTGCCTTCATAAATTACATCTGAACTCTTTCCTTGAGATGACCGGAGGGCATGTTGCAAATTCAACAGTTTATGGCCAAGTTATGTTTTATCCTTAAACTCACACAAAACAAGCAATTATTTAGAATGAAATAATCACTTTAATATTTATAGACTTGAGAAAGGACTTGAATTAAAATTCAGTCTGGAGTCTAAATTGGCACCATGTGAATACAGAAAGATTTCTATATACATGCACAAATTAGTTTAATTAACATATATAGGTAAAATATATTTGTTTTACTTGATATACTTGTTTTGACAGACCTTTCCTGGGGTTACACTTATGTTTATTAGTTGGCTGGGCATGATACAGGTTGAACACCCCTCAGTTCCAGGGCCTTGGCAAAATTAACCTCCAGAGGCTTGCCTGTGCCTTTGGTGAGCTTCAGGGATTTGATGCAACCTCGGAACCGAATGCTGGTTGTCAGGCCAAACTGCTTGAGGTCATCTGAAAAATGTAATGCAAAAGGGCTTAGCATTGAAATGCTCCTGCAGCAAATATTAAGAGCATGTTTCAAAGTCAACTGTTAGCTTGAGATTAAATTGGAATGCTGGATGCTGGGTGCGGGTGACTCATGCCTGTAATCCCAGCACTTTGGGAGGCTGAGGCAGGCAGATCGTCTGAGGTTGGGAGTTTGAGACCAGCCTGACCAACATGAAGAAACCCTGTCTCTACTAAAAATACAAAATTAGCCGGGCATGGTGGTGCATGCCTGTAATACTAGCTACTCGGGAGGCTGAGGCAGGAGAATCGCTTGAACCCGGGAGGTGGAGGTTGCAGTGAGCCGAGATCATGCCACTGCACTCCAGCCTGCATTCCATGCCACAAAAGCAAAACTTTGTCTCAAATTAAATAAAATAAATTGGAATGCTGTTTTATGCAAAGTTAGTGGTTTTGTGTTTAGCTTGACTTACAGAATTGTAGAAAAAGATCGACTATTTAAAAAAAACTTTTTGAGACAGGATCTTGCTGTGTTGCCTAGGCTGGAGTGCGGTGGTAAAATCAAGGTTCGCTGCAGCCTCCACCTCCTGGGCTCAAGCAATCCTCCCTTCGCCAAGCTGCTCTCCAACTCCTGGGCTCAAGAGATCTGCCCATTTCAGCCCAAAGTGTAATTCCAAAGTGTTAGGATTACAGGCGTGAGCCACCGTGCCTGGCCTCAACTTTTTAATAGTTATATAGTATAAAATATGAAAATATCTAGAATTACACATCTTAAGACATGGAATAACTTGGTTTTGGATGAACAAATTTACAGTTGTGACTTAAAATTGTAACATTTATTTCATGAAACAAAGCAATTAATCAAATACTTTTGAGTACTGACTTAGAACTTTTTGAAGGTGACTTTCTTACATTGTAAAAATAAATCCCTAAAGGTTAAGTAGGTTGGAAATTCATATAGACTCTTCCTCTTATCATGGAGGTGCTTGTTTCAGCAGGCCTACTAGGTGTTAATGAGGATCCCATTTAATAGACCAAATGAAGAAGTACATTACCTCTTTCATACTATCATGGAATTTATTCTGATCAAAGCAAAAGGTCTTTTTAAAACCCAGAAGCCACTTTGGAAAGAGAAGCTGTCTTTGGGCCTCCATTGATTCTCTCATTGGTCTGTCAACAATTGCTGAATATACAGTTTGCTTGTTTAGTTAAGCAAAGGAGCCTTATATAAATGGGGACAAAAGTTCCTCTTGACAAAAATGATGAAAGACCACTCCAGGAGTCTGTGTTATTACAGTACTTATTAAAAGGCACTTGGCTTACTTCTATCAAGTTGGCCACTCTTGTTTATGGACACTTTAGGTAAATCTCTGCAGTTCACATGCTATATTGAATGTGCTAGAGAAAGATTTTGAATAAGGATTTATTGCCTGGGTTTCTTTGTAATATAAACATAAACTCTATAATAACATAGGGGGGAAATTAGCTACATTTAACCCAATGATTTCCAGAACTTGAGGAAATAAGTTCCATAACATTTTATGATTCCTCTGGTATATTAATTTTTTTTAAAAAAAGAATCAGAAAGAACACCAAGTTTGGCTTGAATTGCTGTTAAATGCCTCATATCTTTTATAAGCCAAATTCATTTCCTTTAGACTCAATCTCTTCACGAATGAAACTCAGGGGGCTCTCATGAAAAGTTGAGTCCCATGTGATTTATATAAGTAATAAGCTCATTTTACACACTGGAAATTTTAGGTAAGGTGCTATTTATAGGAGTAGACTCTAAAGCTAGAAAGCAAGTACACATAAGCAAACATTCTTAGACATATGTCAATATAAATGTTTTCAAAACCACTAACATAAGAAAGCAAAGAAATTCTTGCTGGGTTAGCCAACACTCACCTGGGAAGCCTCCAACAAACACAGGATCATTTGTGTCAGCTGATGTAGATGCCGGGTTTGGGCTTTGGGCTTCCACCTGGTTCCCATCGACTGTGAGCACAACGCGGTGTTTGATCTTGTTGGCGGTGACTTTATGCCATTGTCCGTCACACAAATGACCCGGAATCTCAGCATCATAGACAGCAGTGAATCTGCCGGCACCATTGTCCACATGAAACATCAGCTGGAAAGTAGGAAACAGAACAGTCACAGATGGTTTCATTAAAGGAGTATCATGATGGCTCACGTATAAAAATTATCAGATCTCTAGGAAAGACATCGGCTGGAATCATTTGAAATGGACGTAACTGGGCATATTGAAAAAATTTTAAAACTTGACAGAAATTAAAGTATAAATCTAATCACCACGAATCACAAATTATGTTCTTTGCTTTGGGGCATTGTTGGGAGTTAATAGGCAAGATATGTGAAGCTGGTAATAACTCTGCTTTCAGGAAAATTTGAGGCCAGGTGACAAGAAAAGGACCTAGTGTACACAAGAAAAAAATTCTACCTCAGATCTTTTTAGAATGTGAGAATTCTTACTGAGCCTTATAAAATTTTCTTAAAAGATGTATTTAAAGTGACTCATAAATTTGGTCTGCAAATTCAAAGTAAAGGATTTTTCAAATTTTAAACTTTTGATGTTTTAATTGTATTTTTTTTCCTTCATGGATTTCATTTTATATACAAGATTGAGAGTTACATAAATTACATTTTGGGGACCGTTTCATGTCACAGGTGCCAAAGACCTGAGCCAGAAGGCCAGTTAAATTCCTAACAATGAGGAACTTAGATTAGAGGTTCTGGTCTAAATGAGAAAAATCTGTTTTTAGTAATGTGGAAAGGCCCCCTGAAATCTGAGATGACAGAATTCTTTTGAAGCTGATGAAGAAAAGAAACATATTGAAACATTAAAACCATTAGTCGGTTTGGCAACACATTTGACAAGGTAAAATAAAAGAAATGGGATTTTAAAAAAGACGATTAAAAATGCAAGTAAATAGGTGAAAAGTTTGTAAACTCTAAATGATGTAAATATGACTGAAATATTTACTATAATGGGTGAAATTTGCATAACAGGGTTTTGCATGTAAAAGGAGCTTGGTGAGAAGTACACATGACAGTGACATAGATGGTAACTGCTCTTAATGGCAGGTGATGAAATGAAGCTTACTTGAAAAAAATGTAGTAAAAGTGTGTTTGGAAAATTTGGTAAAACTATTAAGTGTTGTCTATTTATTCACCCTGATTTTACCTCTAAGTGTGTGGTAACCGTCCTTTGAGGACGGTTTGAAAATTGAGCAGAAGGAGGAAGAAAGCAAGAAAATAATATTTTAGGACAACTATGTGATTTTTCTTCTTGGGAGGCAACACTAAGGGTAACTTCGTGGAAGTTACAAAATGTAATTTATGTAACTCTCAAATGTGAACCAAGTTGAAATACAATTCCTATTTAAAAATCAAATAGAAAATTTGTGAAATTTCTTGCTTTGCCTCCTCCTTTTACCTGCTGCCTATAGTGCAAAGCATATATAAACAGGTTGTCTCACTGCAGGGATTGAAGAGGTGTTTAGAATTTGATTATCAATTATTATCAAGCTGACGCACTACTTTTATAAATCTGCTCTCTTTTGAAATAGTATCTGGATGCTTGTAAATAAAAATTGCGAAACTGCTATGCCAGTTGGCTACCTTGACTTCTAAGAGATATCCGTCCTGTTAAAAGAGGTAGACTAATTTTAGATGATCCACACCTCCACCTTTTCTCCCACTGGAGTCAATAGTTTCACAGACTGTGTGTTCTTTAAGAGGAGAGTAAGAGTGTACTTACAGCAACACAGTAAGAGCTTGAGATCTCAAACTATTTGGTTCATGATGAGTTAACATAATTCGTCTGCTGCAGAATTAATGCGTTTAAAGTTTATATTGGCCCACACAATAGTTATGCTGAAAACATACACAAATTGAAATAATCCAGAAGGATGAAAACATACAATTTAGCTTTCTCCCAACAAAAAGTAAAGCCAGGCTTTGAAATAGAGTTCCCCACACATGAACGATACCCTCACATGAACAATATTATGAAGAAATCAGGAATGTTTGGCTTGCTGACTCTCACCTTTTCATCAATCATTTCAATACCCATTCCATCCATTTTTTGACTACTGATTCCCAGAAGAACTCCAGTTGTTCTAGTTGTGCGGAATTCAAACTCTACAAGAAGATCCAATCCCACTTTGAATCCACCAACTGTAAAATGAAGATTTTAAAATATTATGGATTAGAGTTAATTCAAATGTATACAATGCAAGACTTACTAGATTTCAATTCAAATGCTAGCTAATTCTAATGAGGGCTGTAAGTTTCAGATCCTGCCTGGCCCATACTTCCACTACTGTGTCATGTAACCCACTCCATAGTTATTGTTTATTTTGTGGGCTACCTTCCCTGCTAGAATTTAAGTTCTATGAGATCAGAGGCATTGTCTATATTTGTCACCATTATCCCTGGGCTTACCAAAGTATTTCACACATCATGGAAGTTTAATATATATTAGTTGAACAAATGGATACACTCTGAGATTGACTCAAAGAATCTCACTGTCAGGTATTATTATCTCAGAAGTCTCTCTATTGGGCTAAGAAAAAACATTTCAGTGATTTTTCAGTAAAATTTTAGTGGGGCACACTAAATGGTACCACAATCATTGAAAAAGTTTCAAAAGTTGCCAAACATTTTATTAATAAAGAGAGAAACTGCAAGTATAATGTCGATGGGTAGCTTCTGGGACATAAGTAGCCTTATCTTGTTCATCCAGTTAATTCTTTTCTCTGTGATTTTCCATATTTGACTCTAATTTTTTAAAAAATCTTTGAGCCAGTATTTAAGACATGCCTCTTAGGAACAAACTGATCTGTTAAGATCTGTCTAGACCACACTAACTGAACTGAGTATCAGGGAAATACTGAGGGGAATTTTCTCCAAGTTTTCTACTTATTAGGCAAGAAATAAATGCTACTTGTAGCCATGGCTGTCCAATGAAGGGCGGTAGCTGTTATGTGAAAGACTTTTTGTTCTACTGAGAACCTTGATGGGTTTGGATTGGCAAAGGTGGGTTTATAGCAGATTATAAGAATAAAAGCTAGCTAGTTGTGCCTGGGCAACATAGTGACACCCCTTCTGTAAATAAATAATAAAGTAAAGGGCAGAAGAAGCTAAATTGTTCTGCAAAATAAAAAGGGAGAAGGAAAAGAGAGGAATGAGAAGAGGAAGTTCAGCTGAGCGCAGAAGGAATGAAGAGGCCAATGAAAACCCGGGTGATTGGGTGGATGGAAACTTTTAAGAACAAAGATGTCAAAGGTTAAGAAGAGTTGTATGTTTTCCAGTGAAGTCATCTCTTCTGACCACCCAAGTCTTACGTAAGCTGTATTACACTGTGTGTTCAGGGGATGGTAAGAGTCATTAAAAACTGAGGAAGTGGGTAATTTTCTGGTTTGGTTTGATGCAGAATTGTAAGAGCCAAGGCAGGATGGCAAGTCAATCCATTAACTGCAAAAGTTGAAACTGAAACTTGTCATAAAATTTAAGAGAACACTAGCCATCTGTGAATTTGCAGAAATCTTGGGGAAGCTTTTATACTTTCACAGCACATGGAATTTGGGGTTCAGCATAATCCGTAATGTTTCAATATTTAACACATCCTATGTTTTTCTGTTTTATGCTTCTGTGTAGGTGAGGTTTCCTGGTTTCCTACTGATATTTTGCTGGAGGGTCCTACTCTTTTATCACCCATTACTTTGTATGGGAGTGTTAAAATATCTGAATCCTTGCTCAAATGCGGATTCCTCCATGAAACATTTCCTGATTTTCCCAAACAAAATTAATGTTTTTTTCTAAGTATCTACAGAACTGTGCTGTTATGTCTTTTAGAGTTTGTAATCATTTTTACTGGCCGCCTTTTAATTTCTGAGCAAACAGAATCTTACCAGTTTATAATATATTCTTGATAGAAATAACTACATTACTTATTTCTCTGTTTCTCATCATAATCTCCACATGTTATGTGCTTATTAGTTTCTTTCTAATGAATAGACACATTTCTATGATGCCACAGGACTGAATATTCTATCTTAAAGTATATTAATGGCAGATTTACAAAATTATGCAGTTTTCATTGTAGACATCTTTCACTTCTTTGGTTAATTCCTAAGTGTTTTATTTGTACAAAGCTATTGTAAATGGGATTACTTTCTTGATTTCTTTTTCCGATTGTTTGCTGTTGGCATATAGAAATGTTACTGATTTCTGTATGTTGACTTTGTATCCTGCAGCTTTATTGAATTTGTCAGTTCTAATGGTTTTTTAGTGGAGTCTTTAGGCTTTTCCAAATATAAAATCATATCATTTGCAAACAAGGGTAATCTGACTTCTTCCTTGGATGCCCTTTACTTTTTTCTCTTGTCTGATTGTTCTAGCTAGGACTTTCAATAGCATGTGGAACAACAGTGGTGCAAGTGGGTATCCTTGCTTGTGTTCCAGATCTCAGAGAAAAATACAATAAAAACTGTAAAACATTGATGCGAGAAATTGAAGAGGGCACAAAAAAGGAAAGATATTCCATGTTAATGGATTGGAAGGATCAACATTGTTAAAATGTCCATACTACCCACAGCCATCTGCAGATTTAATACAATCCCTATCAAAATACCAATGAGATTCTTCACAGAAATAAAAAAAAAATTCTACAATTCATATAAAACTACCAAAGTCCCAGAATAGCCACAGCTATCTTAAGCAAAAAGAACAAAATTGGAAGAATTACATTGCTGGACTTCAAATTATACTACAGAACTGTAGTCACCCAAATGGAATAGTACTGGCATACAAACAGGCACATAGACCAGTGGAACAGAATAGAGAAGCCAGAAATAAATACATACATTTACAGTGAACTCATTTACCATAAAGGTTCTTAGAACATACATTAGGGAAAGACCAGTCTCTTCAATAAATGATGCTGGGACAACTGGATATTCATATGCAGAAGAATGAAACTAGACACCTATCTCTTGCCATATACAAAAATCAAATCAAAGTGAATTACAGACTTGACTGTAAGACATCCAACTATGAAACGATTATGATAAAACATTGAGGAAATTCTCCAGGACATTGAAGTGGGCGAAGACTTTTTCAGTTATACTCCACAAGCACAGGCCACCAAAGCAGAAATAGACAAATGGGATCACATCAAGTTAAAAAGCTCCTGCACAGCAAAGGCAACAATCAACAAAGTGAAGAGACAACCTACAAAATGGGAGAAGATATTTGCAAACTACCCCTCTGAGAAGGGATTAATAATCAGAATATAAAAGGAGCTCAAACAACTCTATAGGAAAAAAAATCTAATAATTCTATTTAAAAATGAGTACAAGATTTGGAGACATTTCTCAAAATAAGATATTCAGATGGCAAACAGGTATATGAAAAGGTGCTCAACATCACTGATAATCAGAAAAGTGCAAATCAAAACTACAATGAGCTATCATTTTACCCAAGTTAAAATGGCTTTTATCCAAAAGACAGGCAATAACAAATGCTGACGAGGATGTGGAGAAAAGAGAACCCTTGTACACTGTTGGTGGGAATGCAAACTAGTGCAGCTGCTATGGAGAACAGTTTGGAGGGTCCTCAAAATACTAAAAATTGAGCTACCATACGATCCATCAATTCCACTCCTAGATATATGCCCAAAAGAATATTGAAGACATATCTGCACTCCCATATTTATTGCAGCACAATAGCCAAGATTTGGGAGCCACCTAAGTGCCCATCAGCAGATGAATGGATAAAGAAAATGTGGCACATATACACAATGGAGTACCCTTCAAGCCATAAAAAAGAATGAGATCCTGCCATTGGCAACAACATGGGTGTTCTCAAGGTCATTATGTTAAGTGAAGTAAGCCAGGCACACAAAGGCAAACATCACATGTTCTCACTTATCTGTGGGAGCTAAAAATGAAAGCAATTGAACTCATGGAAGTAGAAAGTAGAAGGATAGTTACCAGAGGTTGGGAAGGTTAGGGGTAGGGAGGAGTAGGGATGGCTAATAGTACAAAAATAGTTTGAATGAATAAGATATAGTATGTGCTAGCACAGGGGTAACTATAGTAAAAAAATATTAATTGTGTATTTTAGAATAACTAAAAGAGTACAATCAGATTGTTTGAAACATAAAGGATGAGTGTTTGAGGTGAGGGATACCTCATTTACCCTGATATGATTATTTTACACTGCATGCCAGTATCAAAATATCTCATGTAACCCATAAATATAATATATACACTCGCCATGTTCCCCACAAAAATAAAAAATTAAAGAATTAAAAAATTATTATGTAGAAGTTATTTCCTATTTCTTTCTTTCTTTTTATTTAACTGTACCTTCATGACCAGTGATATAGACTCATACTGGAAATGTTCATTGGAAATGGAGTAGAGGACATACTTAAGAGAAAGCCAGGAAAAATGCTAGTCATTGTCAGCATAAACTAGAAATGGACACCAGTGTGCATTGTGTGTATGGGTGTGTATTGAAGAGGAGGAGATTATGAAACGCAGCCTTGCAGGGAATTGAAAAGAAGAAAAAAGTCATGTCTCATCTCCAGAAAAAGAGGGAAAATTGGAAGATAGAAAAACAACATAATATAATCATATGAGTGTTCTTACAAAATCATTTATTTTGCTGTTCTTAATATCCAGTGAAGCAGATGGAATAAATTCTCCAAATAGGCCATTTCTTTATTTCTCCTATTAATTCTTACCAGGATCAGATACATGAATTTTTAAGAGGCACTTTTGAAATTACTTCCATAACTTTCTGTTTGGCTTAAATAAAGGATACTACTAGTTTTGGACTCTGGGAACTTTTATTTTTTGGTACTAGCAAGAAGTTAGTATTTGTATCTAGTTAATAATCAACAGGAAGGAAATGAAAGAGCCTTACCTGCTTTGGCAAAACCTGTTCCATCAAAATATGTTCCCCTCTGAGCATTTGCAAAACATGTCCCAACTTGGAAGCTGGAGGTGGGTTGTTCCAGATCAGCAGGGGCCTCTGCCATGTGGAGATTCCTGATGCAGCCATCAATGCTATAGGTCACCTAAATATCCAGATCAGAAGAAACAAATGTTGGGTTTTAGCAGAACTTTGCCTTTAGGTAGAATACAGTCATTTGTGGGGTGCTCTATGTGCGTAGCTATTGGCTGGTTGTCTTAGGATAGGATGTCCCCCAAAGCTGCCTGGGTTCTCTATTACCACCAGGCTTCCTGGCATGGGTGCAGAAAATCCTGTGTTGTGCTTCTCAACTTGGATGTATCTATCCTGGAATATGACTGTTCTGTTAGTCTAAATACTGCACACTATGTCTCCATTGGTTTGACAGAGCTATGGAACCCATGTGGGTATCATAAGTTTTAACTGGTCTCTTATGTTCCTGATTTTATGTTTCTATTAATAGTTTATTAACTTTACTATATACACATTTTGTCATAGCCTACGTTCAATTTCTATTTGAAAGGTAATTAGGTTTGGTTCAGTGCTTCTTCCTTTTGAATATCTAATGAAAGCAGCAGATCCCTAAGAAAATGCAAATATGCATAAATCTTGAAAGTTTACATGAAACGTCGGGGGTTCAAGGAATTTAGAAGTAACTCAATCATACTCTGTTTTTAGAAATTCAAGTTAATTGCTTTTACCACTGTCACTTCAGAGACTCTTGTTTTTGATAGATCTAAAAAGCATACCCAATAGCTATGAAAGGAAAGTAATACTGATGATCCGCAAATGCTGAGAATTACAACTATAATGGGTGACTGTCTTTGATAAATGAACAAATCTACATTATCATGCGTTCTAATTTTAGTATAGAAATGTATCACATTTGTATCTAGTGTGTTCTCTAAAAGCACCAATCAATCCCCCATGCTTCTCTCAGAGCAGCACTTTCCAAAGCAAACTAGGATATGTGGTCTTATAAAAAATTACTTTGTGTATATCAACTTACAAAATTGTAAGGGCTTTAAATTCGGAATCCAAAATTGGGTAACTGTACTCTGACTACTGCATCTCTCAATATTTGCTAAATCTCTTTGCCTGAAACACCATGAATAAATACTGTCATTTTCATCTTTCAGTGCTTTTTATATACCTGCTAATCTTCCAATCACTTTATTTTTATTTATTTATTTATTTATTTATTTATTTATTTATTTATTTATTTTTTGAGACAGGGTCTCACTCTGTTGCTCAAGCTGGAATGCAGTGGCGCTATCACAGCTCACTGCAACCTCTACCCCCTGAGTTCAAGTGATTCTCATGCCTCAGCCCCTGTAGTAGCTGGGACTACAAGCACACACCACACCAGGCTAATTTTTTGTATTTTTTGTAGAGATGGGGTTTCACTATGCTGGCCAGGCTGGTCTCGAACTCCTGGCCTTAAGCAATCTTCCTGCCTTGGCCTCCCAAAGTGCTGGGATTACAGGTGTGAGCCTCCTCGCCCAACCCAATCACTTTAAACATCTTTATGCAACCCTCTTTGTTTAGTATTATCATTACCCTATTTTGCAAAAGAGAAATTGTTGTTAAAAAAGATTAACTTGCTCCAAAACACACAGCTAGTCAATAGTTAAATAGGTACTCAAGCCAAGGGAGTCTGACACCAGGACCCCACTCAATGTTCTGTGGTATTGTCTCTTGTAATCTAATCTCCTTCTGTCACTTATCAGAAAAGACGGCTTCCTATTCACCTGACCGTTTTCATGGGCCTATATGACCTAATAATTCAAAATATGTCAATAAATGAATCAGCCAGATATTTAGGTAACAAAGAAGAAATTAGATATTTACTGGACCAATTCTTCTGGTAGTGTAGTTGATGGGTAACCCACCAACGTACAGCATTCCTACAACATCCAGGATGTCAGCTTTTTTGGGACTGATGGTTCTGTTGGAGGCCCCATCCACATAAAGAATTCCTTCTTGCTTACTTCTCATTATCTTAATCTACAAAAAAAGAAAGGTGTCATTAATGCCAATCCTGAACAAATTTCAAATAGGCAGAGTATAAGACACAAGGACTTCAACGATGCTACCAAGGAAAATTAAAACAACTTACACAGTGCTTAGTATGTGCTAAGCCCATTATATATGGGAAAGTTAAAGCCATCTTATAGCATATCTCAAACTCTGTCTTTTCCATGACTACTATCACCAAAAGAATACAAAATTTTCCTGGGTCGGTTGTAGGTTGAAGTCTCCTCTGTAGGTTGCCAAGAGTAGATATGTGTCAAGAGGGAGGAATATGGTAAGGAAGCCCTCAGACTAACAGCACACTCATGAATTAAGTGAGCAGCAAAATTCATGCACAGTTTGAAAAGTGCATTAGTTTGATTGAACAAAGAGCCTGGGCTCCAACCCAATTTCAGAATTTCAGATATGCTGCACCCCTTTGCCCAACAGGCCCTTCTTGTGCAGAATTAAAGGAAGAGTGGCACAAATAGGCTGCGCTTCTTTCTGCAGAACCTGATTAGTACAAACTTGGGGAAGAAGCTAGAGAACTGACTGAGGCTGAAATTAGGGCAGTGGAGTGAATTATCTTCTGAGACAGAATGAAATAAGGGGTCAGAGACTGGTGTAGACTGGTGTAGAGCATAAAAACCTTGAGTCTGAATTTATGGAAAGGAGCGTGTAAGCCTGTGAAATGCTAAAATACAATGATGATTTAAAAATGAGTCTGGGTCAGGATTAGAGTAATTTAACACTTCATTTTACACATATCTATTCTGGTTTAGGAAGTAAGTTTAAAAAACCATCAGAAATAAAATCTGCTTTTAATTCCACTAATTATAGTATTTAAGTTCCCTTTCTTAATCCCAGCCTTACTGTGGTTCAACAATATGTCTTTTTCTCAAGTGTCATATTTATTATCCTATTAGCTAGAGATGGAAGAAACCTTAATGAGAGCTCCTTCATTTGGATTTGGATTTGCTAGTCATAAGCTCCCAGCAAAAATGAAGATTCCTTTTCTTATTTCCATGATAACAAGCTGGTTGGCTTTGCGTTTTTTAAGGTTCTTTGGCTTTCTAGAATATGACAAGTCAAAGTATGTTAACATTAACGAAATCTAACATCTAATAATATCGTACTCTGAAAATTAAAAATTTTATTGGTCTACCTAGGGAAGCTTTACTTTAATAGGCTATTGCAGGTGCAGAGACAAATGTTGAGATGGTGTTTTAATCAGGCAGTATATTATCCATTTGCAGTCATGCCAAAGGGGACAGTAAGCTGGCAAATGAACCTCTGTGCCCATAATAGTACCAGTTTTTGGGTGTAAGGCCAACGTATTTAAAGTTGTTCCAAATAACTGTCAGTGGAAATGATACCTTAGAGCCCTTTAAACACCATAAAGCAGAGATTCCCAGATTCCTGGTTTTCACAGACCAGTATGTGGTTAGGTGGGGAGTGTTGGGAGCCATTTTAGTGTTGCCAACTTTTGCTTTTGCCAAATACTATTTCATAATAGAAAGGCCCTTTAGACACCATAAAAATGCTAAAATAGAATCTCGGAATAAATATTATTCCTTGAAATTGAATACATAGAGCTTTATGATGAACACATTCTGTTGTTCTGTGTTTCTCACTTACAGTAGTGGAAATGTCTTCAGCCATCTTGCCTCCGTTTATGGATACATGTTTGAGAACCACAGCCATATAGCAGAGACAGAACCATGAAGAGGCATGCCAGTGATCAAATGTAAATCTACTCAGGTCTGATCACATTTTCCAAAATGGAGGTAGTTGTATATGGCACTCATTTTATTTTTAGCTTCTGCCAGAGTCAGTGTCTGCACTGGCAAAATATAATGGCACCAGGAGAATGCTGATGGCTGCCACTCAGTAATTACCTTAGGGTACTGCCAGTATCCAGGGGACTCTTACCTTGTGCCACTGGCCATCGTTGATTTTGGTGGGGATCATGGTGTTGGTGTCCCCACTCCCCAAGTCATAACTGAAGTAGGGCAATCCATTTCTCAGCTGAACTGTTGCAAAATCGGCATGATTGATGCGAGCCATGTAAAAAAGCAAGCCGGATTCAGCTTCGGTTCTTACTTCCAACTCAATTGTGAGACTGGAACAAAAGCATGCAACGTCAAACAGAAAAATAAGAGCATTCTCATGCTAAAATAGAGCGGTATTAGATCGTGGGTTCATTTTCAGACAGGATAGTAAAACTTCCTCAGAGATGAGGAATTTCCTGGGCTACTGATTTCCTAAATTGGGCTCCTCAGGCTTGGAAAAATATAACTCTATTCTATACTGTTTTAATAAAAAGCTAACTTAATTAATTAATAAGTGTAGTAGATTAAACTTGATTAAACACGAATACTCAGTTCTTCATTTATCAATTCTTTCTCAGTGTCTCAGAATGATACATACCGGTTTTTAACTTTGGTGTCATCAAATGCAATTGCAATGTGACTGTTTTTTGAAAGCCCGAACTGCTTGCTCCCTATCAAAAGAGCTGGTTCTGATTCTGCAGCACAAGGACCCTGTAAAATACCAAGGAGAAAAAGACAGGGGATTATGGACTGTTCTTTAAAAAGGTATTAATGCTGTTTAATTGTTTCTTACATATCAGTGTAATTCTTTAAGAATAAAAACTATACCTTATTCATTGCTGTAATCTGCATGGCAAGTACCTATTACCAAGTGCTCAGTGACTATGAATCAGTTTTCTTATATTACACCCTCGAATTTCTAAATGAACGTGCCCAAACATATTTATTGATTAATTCATAGTTTCATTATCCTCTACAATTTTATTTATATTTCTGAGAAAACTGGAATTTCCCTTTCATTTTTCCTTCACATATGAAGAGTTTCATTCTTAGAAGATCAAACAGGGAAAATGACAAGCTAGCCAGCTGGGTTTTAAGAGTAGAAAAACGTGTTTTTTTCTTGCCCTCCCCATTTCCATCTCCCACTATATTACTTTTTCTTGAAAACTATCAGTCCACTAGAAGGTTTTCATGAATTTAGACTTTCAAGATGGTGTATCTAAACCTGCAAGTCAGCCCATTCAGGCCCTTGCCAGTTGCTAGGCAACCCAGCACATTTTAAAAATGTAACCAACCATACACCATTTCAACTGCCACTGTTCAAAGATCAGCTTCCTGGGGTGCTGAAGAGGCAGAGCTAGGTGCGGGGCTGTGCAGTGCAGTCACGTGGCTTAATGCTCTGCTCCCACCATGTTGAAATTCTTAAAAATTTTTGAATGAGGGGCCCTGCATTTTCATTTTGCACTGGGGCTTGCAAAGTATACAGCAGTCCTGGCTACAGAGATCACATTTGGCTACCATAACACACAGCTCCATAAATAAGCAAGCCTCCTTAAATTACCAAAGCCACAATTCCTTTTCCTGTTCTCTATTTTCTCAAGATAGCTTGATATACAGGCTGCTTAGGAAGTCTCTTAGAACACACAGTACGTAGGAAAATAACCTGCACACCCTCACCGACACATCTGTTTTTAAGATCTGTACTTAATAGCTCTGGCCACTGCCCCAGTGAGCGCTGACTCAGCAGGGTTTTGATGCACAGTGTTCTTCCCAAAGAGATGACTCATCAGCACACAGAACATTTTTACTTGATGAGGAAAAGCCTTGTTCTCTTTTCTCTTGATCTTAGTCAAACGAAGCACTCTGCCACGGCAGGTAAAAGGCTTAAAGTGTTTTGAAATGCTATAAAATTGGTCTTCATGGAAGTATTTCCCTTCTTGCTTCCCAGGAGATGGTCAGTTATAAAGAGCAGACTGTGGCCAAAAGTCACATAGCTATGCAAAACCCCGTGGGTAGGACAGGAAAATGCTATTCATTCGCACCGCTGAATGGCCTCTTTTAGAATCAGCATGTGGCACCTTTCTTATTACGCTGCCTGCAAAAAGAAACCGAACGGAGAGGCTTTTCGGTAGCTTAAGATCTCTGTCATGAATACTTCTATTAATAGAATTGGGATCTTTTATCAGCCTCTCACGATATTTCCCGGACAGAGGACCATCTCGACAAACATGCGTGGCCTGCAGTCTGCCTCCGAAATCCCTAAGAGAATCCTATCTGCTGTGAGTCCACTGGGGGCAGAATTTCACTGAAACACCTTTACACCCTCAGCTCTGAAAATTGAGGGATTAAAAAACGTCAATGGATGCTGAGCAATTAGGAAACAATTATGTGTAACTGAAAAGAGGACCACAACTGAGTGGGTTATGTCCATATTACTGCTATTGGTCACTTGTCTACCACATGTAATTGTGAATATAACTTCTCTATTAAAATTTAAAACATTTTCGAGGTGGCAGCTGTACACTCCTGGTAGCAGCTGTACACGGTGGGGAATGTTTTGATTGCTGGCGGACTGGACAGGTGTATCCAAAACTGGTCCTAAGCTAAGCAGCAGTTTCTAGTTTAGTTTATTTTTGTTGTCATTGTTGTTTTGTTGTATCCTATCAGATTCTCTAGATGGACAAGGCACTGGTCAAGCCATTTTAGAAAACACCTTGGACCAGAAAAGGACAGGGATTTTGTCAAATTTCTTTTAAGAATCCTTACAGGACACGCTCACTTGAAATGTAGGAAGAAGAGCCCCTCCTGGATTAGATCCTCCTTCATTTCTGCAACAGCCCTCGAGAAGCAGGTAGAAGCAGTGGTTAATAAAACGGTGTTCTCAAATGAGCCAATGTTACAGAAAAGAGTTGTACCAAACTGATCACTCTAGCATGTAACCTCAAAGTTTAAAGCCATTACGGTATATAGTCCTTTGTTTTTAAGGACATCCAACAATGCTTACTATCATTGAATTGCAACAGGATGAATATTGTTTTAATAAAACTATCACTTTCCTTTATTAAACTGGTAGTTGGAAAAGGACTGAGAAGTGCTGGTGTAAGAGGGTTTGTTTGCTTGTTTTTTGAGATGGCATCTCACTCTGCTGCCAGGCTGGAGTGCAGTGGCACGGTTTTGGCTCACTGCAACCTCCGCCTCCCAGGTTCAAGTGATTTTCCTGCCTCGGCCACCCAAGCAGCTGGGATTACAGGCACACGCCACCATGCCCAGCTAATTTTTGTATTTTTAGTAAAGATGGGTTTCACCATGTTAGCCAGGATGGTCTCCATCTCTTGACCTCGTGATCTGCTTACCTCGGCCTCCCAAAGTCCTGGGATTACAGGCATGAGCCATTGCAACCAGCCAAGCGACCTGAAGTGGGACAAAAATTCCCAATCCTCTAATTTGGTAATGTTTTATACAAATCTAGATCCCCCCCTTGCTTGGTTAAAGGATATCTTCCTTGCATCAGTTTTCCTTGGGTGAGCTGAAACCAAGTCTGATGAGTGTAAGGGAGGGACATAGTGGCTCGTGTTTTTAATCCCAGCATTTGCAAAGCCGAGACAGGAAGACTGCTTGAGGCCAGTAGTTCAAGACCAGCCTGGGCAACAAAGTGAGGACCCCTGCCCTCTTCTGTCTCTCCAAAAGTACAACAACAACAAATTAAAAGAATAAAAAGTTAGCCGGGCATGTAAGTGCATGCCAAAAGCGCTAGCTACTCAGGAGGCTAAGGCAGGAGAATCACTTGAGCCTAGGAGTTCAAGATCAGAGTGAGCTATAATTGCACCACTGCATTCCAGCCTGGACAACAGAGCAAGAGCCTGTCTCAAAAAGAAAAAAAAACATGATGGGTTCAGGGCAGCACTAGCGTATTGGTTTGCTTGGCGTTGCTTCCTCTTCTCTTCCTTCTGCCTCATGTCCCACAGTGGGTGGAGCTGCTCATCCAGCTGTTCAATCTTCTTTTTTCCTTCTAGCATTTTAAAGGGGAACATGTGAGATGGAGTAGAAACTGCCCCGTGCTTTGCACAGAAATAAAATGATCTTGTCACTTAGGATGTTTTCAACTCCGCTTGCCCTTGAAATCTAAGCTAAGAAAAAAGGGTAAGAGAAAATATCTTCTAATGAGATAATTTTAAGGAAACTTTCAAGAATGCTCATTGCAAGATGAATCATCCTTCTCTAAGCTAGTGTATACTTGAAGGAGTCCTCATCTCTACGGGCGTGATGCTTTACCTGCGTTGTTTTGGACACACTGATCTCTAAAACGCGTTAAAACAATAAAAAAAAAATTCACGGTCTCAGTAGAGGCTCATCAATCTCAGCGTGTTACAATTCTGCCACCTTGTGGGGACTTTTTAAAGTACTAGAAATAGTTAACGGGGAAAATGGGGTATGAAAGGAGGACAGATACGCTTGTTTTTCATTTGCCTTTGCTTGGCAGGTTACAAGTTGTCAGTAGACAGGACTTGGGTGGGGAGTGTAGTGCGGTGGTGCACCTGTTGATTCAAGCAGTGATGTGGTGGGAATAATTATAAAGGAAGCCATGCAAGTGGATAGAACACCATGCTAGTAATGGGGCCAAAACGCTTTCATCTTCACACTGCCACTCACTTAATTTGAGGTAAGAATAAAACAATGGTTGTTTCTAACTGCAGGTTGGTGGCTGACATTTGGAAATGAGTTATTAAATTCAGGAGTGTATGTGATTCGTTGATAACCATCCCTTGAATTTCCTAGGTGCTGAGCAGAGATTTATATTGCATTTATTAAAACTGGCATCTTTATTCTTGAAAGCACCAAACAATGAATCATCATAGAAATTGCATAATTTTCTTCTTTCATGAGTCAATAATTCCCCTAATAAATGTGGGCTAAAATCACATCTGATGTTTATTTGTCATGATTTTCTTTATGGATGAATAATTGGAAGATTTTTTTTACAGCAATGACTTTAATCTTCTAAAATATGAAAGTCCTCCTACTCAAGATATTTATTGAAAAACTGAATTATTGGTAACACTGCATCTAAGCTCTTTTGGTGGGTCTTGGACATTTACAGTAATATTTAGACATTAATGTCTAAATAGGGATTCCTTGAAATGTGGAAAATGTATGTTTTCTCTTTAAATACATATCAGTATCCAATCAGGTTATCCTTTGGCCTTGACTGTACTTAGCTCTTAAAGTTGTAGCGCTAAAGCTGCTAGAGAAATCACTTTCTTTTTCTCTATTCTTTCCTTCTCTCCCACTTCTTTTCCCTAAATCCCAAAGAGACCTTAACAATACAGGGTCTCTCCATGGCTACTCATGTTACTCTTCACAGTTTTCACATTTTAAACTTTGAGGTTTACAGCTGAACTCTTCAATAAAATTCAAGTATGAATGCAGCCAGCTCACTGTCTACAAATCCACACAGGCTCTCCTGGTTATAAAGACTTGGTCTAAACAGCGCGCACACTTGCGGAGGACTCGTCACGTTTCCACAAGTCAACAAATTTCTGTCATACTTGAAATTCAGCCTCTTATCTACCTCCACCTCTTGCCATCCTCCATGAGAAATATTCACAAATGTAACATGTAGAATTGTTTTCTCTAGCTCTGAATGGGCTAAAGAAAAAGAGAGAAGTATAAAGAGAAGACAAGCTACCACACTATCAAACGAGATAATATGC